CTCGGAGTCATTGCTTCCATAATATAATTGTGAAGAGCTTTGCTGTAATAGCCATTTGGTCTCGTCTTTGGACTCACGTTTGCATCGTCTCCACAATGACTTCAATTTGGTTTTCACAGATTTAGACACAGTTTTACTCTTTGGTTCGCTTCCATCAGAATTAGTGCCAAATCTGAACATATTTCGCACCTTTTTCTTATACGATCTGTCACTCCGTTTGTTCACATTGTCTGAGTTATTCATATCAAAATTGGTGACCATTTTGTGTCTAAATGATTGTATTCAAAAAGCATACATAGATCAGCTCTAAATCATATGTAAAAGTAGCAGTTTTTCGACAACTTATAAATCATTAAAAACTACTATTGATTGATTGTATAACAAACTAACCTCAATCACTTATTTATGTCTTAATTGAATACTAGAAATATTTTTTCATTCAATAATACATAACCTATTACTGCATGTTGTGTTTCATATATTTTAACAATCATTCACTAATTAAATTTTAACATACTACAGAATTTAATCTAGTAAATTTATAATAAATAAATCATATATTGACCTTGGACAAATATAAGAAACTTATTAAATATTTAGCACTTAAGCAATACTTATTCAGTATAATAACAGTTACTTTAACAAATAAGTCCACTTTATTATAATATAATGTGAAAGGGACTTTTAAAACAACTTGTTATATATACAGTGCTGCCCACCAGAGACAGTACTAGTTTAATTTTGGAGCCAGTAATTTTGTCGATTAGTTTAGTCTAAAAATGAGAAAAATGAGTGCACTTTTGCTAAAAACAATCATTAAAGTACTGATAAGAATAGCAGTGAATGAACTTTGAACTCATATTTAAGTTTAAGATAAGATTAAGTTTTATTTTAGATTTTCAAATAACAACTATTGCTTTAAATAATTTCAACAAAATCCCTAAATATCTAAAAACAAAATAATTATTAAATTAATTGTATTAAAAGAAATTAAATTAATTAAACAATGACTAAGAAATCAACGCATTTAGCCGTCTATTATCGGTTCCGTCAGAGTTCTGAAGACTAATGGGATCTTCGATGACGGTTTTGAGGACTTCGAGGAATTTGGCGGCGATATCCTCCTCGATCACGCGACCATCAAACGAAAGGGTCACTCGAACCAAGTGTTGGGTGCGATCGCTCTCATCCAACACCAGTCTCGACGAGCCGATGGCCAGAATCGCCGATTGTGGGGGATTTATGACAGCAGTGAATTCAGAGACGCCAAACATTCCCAGATTGGATATACTGAATGACCCGCCAATGAATTCGTTGGGCTGTAGTTTGCCGTCTCTCGCCTTCGAGGCCAACCCTTTCACAGTGAAGCTGATTGTCTCTAAATCTAATTGATTCGCGTTTCGGACAATAGGAGTGATGAGTCCGTTAGGTGTGGCCACGGCTACCGATATATCAACTGTGGGCGACAACTGTATAGTGGATGTGCTCTCATTCCAGGAACTATTGACTTGTGGCACTTTCTTCAGAGCGATGGCCACCGCTTTGATTATGAAATCGTTGACCGAGACTTTAATTCCAGAGTTTTTGAGTTGTCTGCGGACATCGTTGACGCCATTCATCGAGAAGTCAATTGTCATATAAGAGTGAGGAGTAGTTGACTTGGATTGTGTCAAACGTTTGGCAATTGTTTTCCTCATATTAGACAACTCAATGTCAATGAATTCGGCGCTTTTGGACGGAGTCTTAGTTTCAGAAGCCTTGGGCGCCGAGACATGGCTTTTGTCTGAAGACATATCTCTGGGTTTCAAAGCGTTATCTTTTATGAATTTAAGGACGTCTTCCTTTACAATATTGTTTTGCGGACCCGAAGACTGCACTGAATTCGCGTCAATTGAGTATTGATTCAACAGATTCTTAACACTCGGACCCATTAGACGTCCGCTTAGATGACTGCTTCCGTCACTCTTATCATCACTTTTGGTATCCTTTTGTTGAGAAGTAGTTTGTGGGGCGGGAGGGGACGTGTCTTTGGGTATATCCACGTCCTTCCAGTCCTGTCCCTCTTCGACCATAAGTCCGATAAGAGTTCCCACTTTGATGTCTGCGGTGTCGTTGGGGACCAGGATTTTGGCCAAAACGCCCTCTTCCTCGAGTTCGAGGCCCACCACAGCCTTATCGGTCTGAACCTCGCAGATGAGGTCACCGGCGCCGATGGGTTCGCCCTCTTTCTTAACCCACTTGACTATAGTTCCCGAAGTCATGGTCGGCGACAGGGATGGCATCAAAATGGGTATACCTTTCGTACCTTATGAACCTCGCAGATGAGGTCACCGGCGCCGATGGGTTCGCCCTCTTTCTTAACCCACTTGACTATAGTTCCCGAAGTCATGGTCGGCGACAGGGATGGCATCAAAATGGGTATACCTTTCGTACCTTCAATGACACGCAAACCATATCATTATATACACCACTTATAGACACTCAAAGACATACCAAAAAGCAGTTCCGATGTCTGTATATATCGGATCAGCAGTTGATTTGTTGACAATTCATTCAGTTTAACACATTTTGAGCTCTTTTTCAATAAATTATTAATAATTAATGTTTTAATTAATTGCTTTCGAAATATGGGAAACATTTTGTGTATAAATAATATTTAGTTAATAAGTAATCAATTGTTTGCAAAACACAATCAAATCAATGAATTTAACACTAATTTCATAGAAAATCGCTTTTTATTGCTTGCATTTGGATGTGGTTTGCATTGCTATGCCCTTCACATACAATGTTACCTTATTTTGTGTGAAAATTGCAACCAGATCATCTTACTTTCATTTCTAGTTATTTCTAATTTTATAAACAATTTAGTGTGCAATTGGTGATTCATTGACTCAATATAATTGTCTTAATGGTGATAATAAAGGATTAAATGTGTTTAATGTTTATATTTCGCATTGAATGTTCAATATATTGACCACAACTGCCGTAATGAATATTTGGCACAAATATGACTCAATGTTTGTATGACTGGTGAACGTAAGCTAATGTAGTATTTGTGCGAAACAGTTGTGTTTACTGACAGTCAATGGATGGATGTGTTTGTGTTGTGTCTGTAATTGTCAACACATTTACCACTCATTGAGGCATTCATTGCATTCAACACAACATTAACTCTAATTTGCTTTCAATTCATAGTATTATATATTTATCATATGATAGATGTATTGACCACCACTTGAATCACACGATGGCATCGATGCAGGTATGGCTCACAGTGAGCACCAGCTGATCCGTCCATTCATTATTTACATGCATTTGTTTGACATTTGCATTGATTTCTAGAAACGTCTTCAGAAGGAACTGCTGGCCATTCAGAAGGAGCCGCCCATTGGTTTGCATTCATTTGCCATTCAATGAGCGAATCAATGATTAAATGTCTGAAATGTGTTTGTCTTTAGGAGTGACAGTGAATGAGTCGAATATCGGACCAAATCTGACACAGTATTCAATACATGGTATGCAATGACATGATTGACACCCCTTTCCACTTACAGATGGATTGTCGACATCGATGGTCCGGTTGGCACTCTCTATGAGGGCGAGCACTTCCAACTGCTCTTTAAATTCAGGTATCACTCGACGCCACAGTGTTTTGACTCGTATTATGACTCGTATTATGACTGAAATGAATGTGATTTCTTGTATTCAGTCCGAAATACCCGTTTGATTCCCCGGAAGTGACATTCATGGGCGCCAACATTCCAGTCCATCCCCACGTCTACAGCAATGGACACATATGTCTGTCGATACTGACCGAAGACTGGTCGATGTATTCAGTCCGAAATACCCGTTTGATTCCCCGGAAGTGACATTCATGGGCGCCAACATTCCAGTCCATCCCCACGTCTACAGCAATGGACACATATGTCTGTCGATACTGACCGAAGACTGGTCGCCCGCTTTATCCGTGCAATCCGTATGTCTTAGTATTGTATCAATGCTTTCGAGTTGTAAAGAGAAGAAGAGGTAATTAGCGGTAAATAAATGTTTGTCTCAATGAATGACTCATTGGTTTGCCTCTCAGGCCTCCCGACAACTCGCTGTATGTGAAGACCTGCTCCAAGAATCCAAAGGTATGTGTTATAAGTGAATTGATGCGATTGAATGCCATACTAATGCCTATCGATTGAATGGTTGTACCCGTTGTGGTGATGAGTAGAAGACCCGGTGGTGGTATCACGACGACCACGTCTGACATTCACTTCATTTATATGATCATTGCTTTTGTTTTCTTATAAATCTTTCTCATTGTCTGAAGACATTAAGAGAACAAAATTCAAGAATTTGTGATAAATTACTAATTAATATAAAAAGATTGGTTAATATAATAACCATTTGAATAGTTTTAAGAATAGGAATGTTAACTAAAATATCGATTTTCCGAATCGATTGCTCTATATATTGACATTCCGTTTGTTTTAATTTTTGTTTATATTTAATTGAAATGTGATTAAAGTATTGAACAAACAATTAAAGGATTAAATATTAGACACAAAGACAATGAGAAATAGCATATAAGAAATGGAATCAATATTTTGTACATTTTAGACCATTTTTATGTAATATTATTTAATAATGAATATCTTATCATTTATTATAATATTATTTTCAAAATGTAAATACACTCCGAAACAGAGGTTTTCCAACATTTCTAAATCTGTTCATAACTTTTCGCGAATGACTGCTCTTTTCACATAAGTCCACCTTTTAGTAGTACTGTGACCACTAATTAGGGGACATTCCGGTGATCATACTGTCCTATTTACCAGGGTTATCTCTATTAGTGAGTTTGGCACAGTTGTCAACTAGCAATCGATTCACAAAAGCTGTCTTATTATTAGAGTCGCCCATAAACTGATCCATTCATATGATATTCAATCAATAGATCTATTGATTATTTATTATAAGTCATTGAAATACTAATCAGACCTACCGTTCCTTAATTGCACTCAATTATATCAAAGAGTGAGACTTTATTACCGGTAATATTGTAAAGAATATTCTCTACAATTGCATACATATTGTGGTCCCTTTTGAACGCTAGTGTGGACAGAGAGTGGGTCTTAGAAATCCTCTGAATATCGTATCGTTTATTAAGAATTAAATAAATTTTAAGAAACGAATCGGAATTTAATAATTATTTTCACCAATAATTGTTTGAATCTATAATTAGATGTTTAACACCATTTATAGTGTAATTATTATTATTATTTATATTTGATTTTATGTTTCAAAAAAACATATAAAACTTTGAGCAAACAATTGAATTGAATAACAAATGGCAAACAATTGTGGTATTATTGGCATAGATTGCAATGAATAATGCAATAACACTATCAGCACATAATCAATGGTAACTTATGAAATATAAGTTATTTGTAAAATTATTAATTAAGTCATTAAATTAATTACACAATTAATGGACGAGAATTCATTTTTAAAATAAATAAATCTTTGAAAATGTATGAAAATTTTGTTGAAAATTAGATTTAAAATGGACTGGAATTGAAGTGAATTGAAATTTACAAGTTATCCAGTAACTTTCAATTCAATTCTCATTAAAATCATAGAAAAACAAGGTTTCAACTAATTCTAGACATTTGTTCAAATTCTTTATCATTAGTTAATGTTATGTAATGTAAGTTATGTTAAGGAAAGTCACTCTTAAATGAGATTCAATTTGAATATATCTATAGTTAAACTAATTTGCAATAAGAATTGAGTTTTAATTTGTTCAACAAATCAATAGATTCGATAGTTTTATAGTTTTATAGTTTGTATAAAATTAATGATTTCATAACAATTGAGTAAAAGTAATGAAACAATTATTTAAAAGGGACTTATAGTTGAAATATAAACTATACAGTAATACACGAACCTTAATGTCAATCCCTTTTAAATAAGTTTTTAAAAAACTGTTTGAATCAATGAGAATTTAACATAAAATAAATTAGATTTCATTTATGTTATGCATCGCAACAATTGTATGACTTATTAGAAGTTTTATAT